AATATTTTTTGAAATGTTTTCTTTGGTGTTAGACAGCAATAAACTTTTGTAAGGTGTTAGAGACAGTTTCTTAATTTATTTTTGGAAACACGCTTCTTAATTTATTTTAGGAAACACATCCTAGTTGCCTTGGGGTTAGGATTTAGTTCTCTATAAATACAAGCTCTCTCCCTTGTAATCATTGAGTGTGGATCCGAAAATAGCAATAATATTCTTGGCTTGGTAGCGCCCCCAGACGTAGTCATTCGTGGCGAACTGGGTTATCAAATTTTCGTGTGTTCTTCTTATTATTTATCGTGTGCGTGAGTTTAATTCCTAACAATTGGTATCAGAGCCCTAGGTTCGAAGGGTGATCTCACGATGGCAGACAATTTGAAGACACCGTTGATGCAGTTTGATGGGACTGATTTCGGTTTCTGGAAGTTGCAGATCGAAGATTACCTGTACGGTAGAGATCTATATCAACCTCTGGATGATAAGCCGGAAGACATGAAGGAGAGCGACTAGAAGTTGCTGGACAGAAAAGCGATGAGCGTGGTTCGATTATCGCTGTCCAGAAACATCGCCCTACATACCGTCAAAGCAAAAACGACGAAGGAGATGTTGCAGATTTTGTCGGATATGTACGAAAAATCATCCGCTGTGAACAAAGTTCATCTGATGAGGCGTCTTTTTAACCTGAACATGTTAGAAGGTACGGGAGTGGTGGATCATCTCAACGAGTTCAATGTGATCACCACACAGTTGAGCGCGGTTGAGATAAAATTCGACGATGAAATTCATGCCCTTATTCTGCTATCTTCTCTCCCAGAAAGCTGGAACGGAACAGTGAATGCAGTCAGCGCTTCGGCAGGGAAAGAGAAACTGAAATTCGATGAAGTCAGAAATCTGGTGGTCAACGAAGAAATTCGCAGGAAGGAATCGGGTCTGGCTTCTGGATTGGCGTTGAGTACAGAGAACCGGGGCAGAACGAAGTCGAAGTCCAAGTCATATCAGGATAGATCAAGATCCAAATCCAAGTCAAACAGCAAGGGCAAGAAGGACAGAAGTCAGATCAAGTGCGGGAATTGTGAGGAGTACGGACACTTCAAGAGCCAGTGCAAGGAGCAGATCAAGGATCAGAAGGAGAAGACATCTGCCAATGCAGCGGCAGAATCATCTGGCGATGATCTCCTGAGCGTGAGCAGTCCGATGGAGTCATGGGTTCTGGATTCTGGAGCCTCGTTCCATTCATGTGGTAATTCTGAAGTGATGGAACAGTATACTCCCGACAATTTTGGAGAGGTGTATCTTGCTGATGATGAGCCTCTTAAAATTGTTGGGAAGGGGACAGTCCACGTGAACACTCCGAATGGATGCATTCTGAAACTGAATGGTGTCCGACACATTCCTGGCTTGAGGAGGAATCTTCTTTCAATTGGGCAGCTGGATGAGGAAGGTTATGCAGTTACATTCGGCAGCAGAAATTGGAAGATCACCAAGGGAGCCTTGCTGGTTGCTAAGGGGAAGAAGGAGGGTACGTTGTACATGACAACGAACTCGAAGGACTGCATCGATGTTGCTGCCTCTGCAACAAACGATGTGAATTTGTGGCACTGTCGTCTCGGTCACATGAGTGAAAAGGGGATGAAGGAGCTGTGCTCGAAGGGCAAACTGCCCGACCTGAAGACTGTTGAGGTTGGCTTATGCGAGGACTGCATATTCGGGAAACAGAAACGTGTCAGTTTCTCGAAGGGGAGAAAAGCTATTAAACCGGAGAAGCTGGAACTAGTTCACACCGACCTTTGGGGACCTGCAAAAGTTAAATCCTTGGGAGGATCCACCTACTACATAACCTTTATTGATGATGCCACAAGAAAGGTATGGGTTTATTTTCTCAAAAATAAATGCGATGCCTTTGATGCTTTCAGGAAGTGGAAAGCTCTTGTTGAGACGGAGACAAGTCTGAAGTTGAAGTGCCTTCGGTCAGATAATGGAGGTGAGTATGAACTGCATGAGTTCAAGAATTTTTGTGCTGAGAATGGGGTTTGTATGGAGAAGACAACTAAAGGGACTCCGCAGCATAATGGCGTAGCTGAATGCATGAACAGAACACTGAATGAGCGGGCAAGATGCATGAGGTTGAAGAGTGGCTTACCGAAGATGTTTTGGGCGGATGCAGTGAACACCGCGGCTTTTCTCATCAACGGAAGTCCAACGATCTCGTTGGAGAATGGCATTCCTGAAGAAAGGTGGATGGGTAAGGAGGTTAATCTGTCCTATCTCTGCATATTTGGTTGTGTTGCTTATGTTCATATCAGTTCCGTTGACCGAAGCAAGCTAGACGCAAAATCTGTTAAGTGTACGTTCGTTGATAGGAATATGAAGATTATTCGTAGCCGAGATGTGGTGTTCAACGAACATATTATGTACAAGGACAAATTGAGTGCATCTGATTCTGAGCAAGATAGACCGAAGATCATAGAGTTGGATATCTTTAATTCGGGTGGGAGCAAGCAGGATCAGAATGAAGAGTTGAGCAGTGATGAGGATCCATCAACCCCACCAAGGCAGCGGCCTGCCAGAAACCGGAGAGCACCAAATAGGTATTCGCCTTCTAATTTCTATTTGTTGCTTACTGATGGTGGTGAACCGGAGTCCTATGCAGAGGCAGTTTGGGTTGATGACACGGGCAAGTGGAAACTTGCAATGGATGATGAGATGACATCTCTCACATCCAATGACACTTGGAGGTTAGTTGAGCTACCGAAAGGAAAGAAGGCTTTACACTGCAAGTGGGTCTACCGCATCAAAGCTAGGCTGGTTGTGAAGGGGTTTGAGCAGTGTTATGGTATTGATTACACTGACATATTCTCTCCAGTTGTGAAACTTACTACTATTCGGTTAGTGTTGGGGTTAGTTGTTGCAGAGAATTTGTTGGTACATCAGATGGATGTAAAGACTGCATTCCTTCATGGTGATCTGAATGATGAGATTTACATGGTGCAACCGGAGGGCTATGTGGCAGAAGGCAGTGAGAATCTCGTATGTAAGCTAGTGAAGAGCTTATACGGCTTGAAGCAGGCACCGAAGCAGTGGTACAAGAAATTTGATGGTTTCATGAGGGACATAAATTTCTTGAGATGTCACACCGACAATTGCTGCTATTACAAGAAGACCGAGAACTGTTATCTTATCTTGCTATTATATGTAGATGACATGTTGATTGCAGGAGCTAGTTCAAGGGAGATTGAGAAGCTAAAGAAACAGTTGTCAGAACGTTTTTCCATGAAGGATCTTGGAGAAGCAAAATAGATTTTGGGCATGCGAATCGAGAGGGATGAGGCAGCGGGCAGATTGTATCTTTCACCGGCAGAATATATTCATAAGGTCTTGGAAAGATTCAGAATGCAAGATGCAAAGACAGCAAGTGCACCGTTGGGTAGTCACTTCAAGCTTAGCAAGGAAGACTCACCGAAGAACAAGGAGGAGCATGCTCAAATGCAGAATGTCCCATACGCATCGGCAATTTGCAGCATAATGTACGCGATGGTGTGCACAAGGCCAGACATTGCACATGCGGTGGGAGTAGTGAGCAGATTCATGGGAGACCCCGGGAAAGAACACTGGGAAGCTGTGAAGTGGATCATGAGGTATTTGAAAGGTACTGCTTCTAATGCTTTGTGTTTTGATGGGAAGAATGTAGAGCTGCTAGGACATGTTGATGCAGACCTGGCATCGAATGACTCGGATGGATTGAGGAGCACCACCGGGTATGTTTTTACATTTGGTGGAACGGCAGTTTCCTGGCTTTCGCAGCTGCAGAAGATTGTTGCATTATCTACCACTGAAGCTGAATATGTGGCCATTACGGAGGCAAGTAAGGAGATGGTGTGGCTTCAGAATTTACTTGGGGAACTTGGGAAGGAGTACAAGAATAACATTCTTTACAGTGACAATCAAAGTGCTATCTTCTTGGCTAACAACTCAGCTTTTCACAAGAGAACCAAACACATTCGGTTGAAGTATCACTACATTCGTCATCTTCTGGAGATAAAGGCATTGCAACTTGTGAAGATCCGTGGGAGTGAGAATCCAGCAGACATGTTTACTAAGGTGTTAACCTTGGAGAAATTGAAGCTTTGCATAGCTTCAATTGGCCTAGGTACTTGAAGATGAAGGCCGACACTACCATGCTTACAAGGGAGGTTTGAAGAAGACAGTCTCTAGGCGGGAGATTGTAAGGTGTTAGAGACAGTTTCTTAATTTATTTTTGGAAACACGCTTCTTAATTTATTTTAGGAAACACATCGTAGTTGCCTTGGGGTTAGGATTTAGTTCTCTATAAATACAAGCTCTCTCCCTTGTAATCATTGAGTGTGGATCCGAAAATAGCAATAATATTCCTGGCTTGGTAGCGCCCCCAGACGTATTCATTCGTGGCGAACTGGGTTACCAAATTTTCGTGTGTTCTTCTTATTATTCATCGCGTGCGTGAGTTTAATTCCTAACAACTTTCACATCACCATATCCTTGGGTCTGTAATAAGACTGGTACTTTCTCACAGTTATTTTAATGGCTCCAAGACTAAAAACTATCGACAATTTTATTATAAAAATGTCTAAAATTAAAAATATTTAAACAAGACTAATTCATCCACTCCCTAGTTATGAGAGTATGTGACCAAGTATGTGCATTTCCACCCATACAAATAATAGCATAATTGGGATTAAATTGAACCTTATAAACAATATTAAATGTTTATAATGTTTAATGATTAAAATGATTTTTATCATTTTAAACTTAATAAAACTGAGCTGAAACTATGATAAAAAAGCGTGGAGAATAATAATTAAACAATTAGTTCCACTTTAATAAGGGAATTTTCAAATCTGGACGTATTTTGTATAATCAATTAAGTATGAAGTCACAACATAAACTAAGAAAGTTTTAATCTACCAAATAGAAACCGTAATACCACTGAGGTACCGTGTAAAGTTTCCCTTTTTTGTATTCTGCAGCTCGAAGATGATTCAGATGACGCAGGGCTCTCTCTTCCAGCCAATAAGCCCTCAGTGCTTCTTTTTGTTGATAGATTTTCAGTTTCGTCAACTTTGAGAAAAGAGAGCAAGAAAGCTATTGATGCCTTTAGAGAGTTAGCACTCCATTATCATTATCATAACCTCGAGAGTAGAAAAGATAACCGAATTTCAGAAATGGCATCTGTTAAAGCACTTCAAGCATTGAGGAGTACTTCTGAACACCATAGAATAGATCTGTTTCACGCAGCACAAAAGATAAATGCCAATGACAAGATGTCTTTTGTTATAATGAATGATGGGAAACATGTCTCTGTTGAAAACTTCGCTGATTTGCAAGGGAGTTCTTTCCGTGAGATATTGACACATGTGCTTAAGCAGAAGGAGCTGAGGTTAAGCACAATTGCAAAAGGTGCAGGATTCCAACTCTTATCTGAAGATCTTAATATCGAACTTGGTGGCGTTTTTGCAGCGCAGGTCAGTGATCACCCTGACCACGCTTCTGAATCCCCCACAAGTATAGCGACTACAGGTGCTCATGATTCCGAGTCTTTTTGTAACAATGGGCCTTCTAATGTTCAAATAGAAAATGCTCAACCGTTAGTAGTGCAGACAGAAGATCAGTCTGATCAACCTCCTACAGGAAACCCAGAATGGGTTCAAGAAGATACGTTGGACTTGGATGCAATTCAGGTGCTACATAAGGCAAATCCTTTTCATGGACGACATATGCTGCAACCAGAAGTCCCTGCTGCTGAATCTTTTGAGCTATCTAATGACAAGAACTTTATTGAAGATCCTCATGTTCAAGAAGCAACAGATGGTTCAGGAAGTGAGAGGATCTTTGAGAAAGATCTCAAGGTAGATGAGGAAAAATGCAAGGAAGAACATGAAAAAGTGATCAACTTGGAATATGTGCAATCTTTAGCAGTGCAGACAGAAGTTCGGACCAATAAACCCTCTGGGGGAGACCCAGACGGAGCTCAAGAAGCTATATTGGACTTAGATATGGTTCAAGTGCTAGAAAGGGAAACTATCGCTTATGGAGAGCAAGTGGCACAGCCAGATCTCGCTGCCTCTGAATTATCTAAGAAGAATACTAAAAAGAATATTATTGAACATTCTCATGTACAAGAAACCACATACGGTTTGGGAAATGGGAAGATATTTGAGAACACTCTTGAGGTAGATGAGAAAAAACAAGAGCGAAATTTCAGAGGTTCCTTCTTCTTTTGTGATGGTCAGTACAGATTACTTAGAACCCTAACTGGAGGGTTAAAGGTTCCATCTGCAGTAATAGTAGACCCCACGTTGCAGCAACATTTTGTTTTAGCTGAACAAGAAGTTTTCAACCATTCTTTGCTAGCTGAATTTCTTGATAGATTTATCAGTGGGAGTCTTTCTCCATATCAACAATCTGAGCCTTTTGCTCAAAGTCCCAGGCTAGCCCCAAAACCACCATTTGTCAATCAGGATTTTCATGAAGCAGATTCTATACCTAGGGTAACAGCAAATGGCTTTACTGAGCTGGTTCTTGGAAACCATTCTGACTCTACGTATGGTAGCAATTCTCGGAGTCGAGATGTCTTGGTTCTTTTCAGCAATGCTTGGTGTAGTTTTTGCCAGAGGATGGAGTTGGTTGTTCGTGAAGTATATCGAGCTATTCAAGAATATTTAGATATGCCTAAGACTGCATCTGGTGACTATAAAAAGCCACTGGCTGATGGTAAGTTGTGGAGTGTAGCTCAAGTCCCATATCAATAGTTACCTCATACCTTTTATATTCGAATGTCCAGTGAATCTTCCCAGATGTACTGTCTGGTTCTTACCCCATATTGGTCTTTTTTGAAAAAGTATAATTCAGCATCATCAGCTTGAATGTCTTGTAATTAACTGGGGTAAAAGTAAAAACGCATAGGAAGCTGTTCAATTTTGTGCATACAGCCATACAATCCACAGAAGTATGGATCACCATTAAAATGCACATAATAAAACAGTTTGTCAAGGTTTACTTGTTTATCATCGCTATTAGAGTTCTAGAGATATGCATCCGTGGTTATTAAATAATTGAAAGTGTTACTTTTGCACTAAAAATTTGCATTCTGCATGGCTTAATGACCTTGACTTTTTCTCATTTCAAAAGTAGAGAGAACATAAACGAATCATGACATGCTACGAGCCTACAATAATTTTTTTAAATCTCATTTTAAGTGCAAACTCATCATTTTGGTGCCAATAAATAGAATTTGACTTGTAAAAAACTGCTGATATGAGCCTTCTAGTTCTTAACTTGTAAATTAACTTGTGGCAGATGGTCTGACAAATATCATTGCGAAGCTTCCATTGATTTACTTGATGGATTGTACATTAAATGACTGCAGTTTGATTCTGAAACCTTTGTTTGAGGTATGACATTGTTATTTATCCACAATGAAAAAATACAAGCCATATGACCTTTATTTCAATAGGTTTTCACCTACGCCTATCATTTTGCCTTACTTGTACAGTTGTACAGCCTTTAGTGTATGTTACTGGATTAGGAGTGCCACATGTGGTACTTTATGTTACTGGATTAGGTATGCCACATGTGCTACTTTGTTTTACCATTTTTGCAATTGGTGCTATAACGAATACGTGTATTTTGTGGATGCTGCTAGGTAACAAGTACACAGTAGAATTATATGTATATTAAGCAATGTATTCTGTAAACTGAGTAATAGAGATTAAAGATGCGATGAAATCACAATATATTATTCATTGGGTGTAGCCGGTATAAATACACACAAGTCATAGAATACCAAAAGGAAACAAAATCTGCCAAATTTACACAGAATATTTAGTCTATCACATATAATATATTAACTACCATATATATACATATAATATATTGACTATTAAATATGTATATTCTAACACTCCCCCTCAAGCTAGAGCATAGATATTAATCATGCCCAACTTGGTACAGATGGAATTGATAGGTGTCCCCGGTAGAGCCTTGATGAACACATCTGCGAGTTGATTTCCTGTTTTGATGTGTGGAGTGCAAATTGTACCATCTTCTACCTTTTCTCGAGTAAAGTGAGATCAACTTCGATATGCTTTGTTCTTTCGATCATTTGCAATATGGATAGCTGCATGATTTTCACACCATGATCTCATTGGTTCTGTTGGAGCAAATTCAAGTTCACCAAGCAAATGTTGAAGCCAAACCAGCTCACCTGTGGTATGTGCCATAGCTCGATAATCAGATTTTGCACTTTATCTAGAGACAACATTTTGCTTCTTACTCTTCCATGATACAAGGTTACCTCCCGCAAACACACAATAACCAGTGGTGGAATCTCGATCATTAGGGTTTCCAGCGTAGTCCGCATCAGTAAACCCTTCAATAACATGATGTCCGTGGTTCTGATATAGTATCCCACGCCCTGGAGCCCCCTTCAAGTATCTTAGGATACGAGTAACTGCATCCCAGTGAGATGTTCGTGGAGTGGACAGAAACTGACTTACCATACTGGACGAGAAAGCAATATCAGGTCGGATGATAGTCAAATAATTCAGTTTCCCAATGATCATTTGGTATACCTCAGGATTTCTGAGCAAGTCACCTTCATCAGCGGTTAACTTTACATCCGGGATCATCAACGCATCACACGGTTTTGCCTCAATCAACACTGCATCATTTAACACATCTAGACAATTTTTCCTTTGGAGATAAGTTCCCTGATTATTATGTGAGACTTCTATTCCTAAGAAGTACTTCAAGGGCCCAAGATCTTTGTTCTGAAAGCAAGTAGCAAGGAAAGCTTTTAGTTTCAAAATACGACTCACATCACTGCAAGTGATCACAATATCATCAATATACACAACCAATAGAATACATCCAGGATTGGAGGTAGAGAAGAAAACTGAGTGATCATAGGCACTCCTACGTAAGCCAAATTTAATTATTGCAGCACTGAAGCGGCCGAACCAAGCTCATGGGGATTGTTTTAGACCATAGACCGATTTCCTTAATTTACATACCTTTCCAGACTCCCCACGATGCTGATGGTTGCTCCATGTATACTTCCTCACTAAGGTTGCCATTCAAAAAGGCATTTTTAACATCAAGTTGATGGAGTGTCCAATTGTAAATGGCAACCAAAGGGATGTAAGTTTTGCAACAGGAAAGAAAGTGTCAAAGTAAACTATACCATATGTGTGAGCATAACCCTTAGCTACTAACCGTGTCTTTAAACAAGCAACAAAACCATCAAGATTCATTTTAGTGGTGAACACCCATTTACACCCCATAACTTTCTTGTTGGGTGGAAGATATACAAGGTCCGACGTGTGGTTCCGATCGAGAGCCATCATCTCCTCTCGCATTGCCTCTTGCCAACCAGGATGAGCCAATGCCTCAGAAATAGTTGAAGGAACAAAGCTCTTGGAAGGTGACAATGCATTATTAGTAAGGAAGAAGCGTGATAAGTATAAGTACAAGTACCCTTTCGAAGGGAGATTGGGAGATCAAGGTAAGAGGGAGCAAATTCTGGAGGCGAAACAGAAGATGGTGGTGGTACACTGGTAGCCATAGTAGGTGTCGTAGTCACAGGGCATACACGATGAGAGTAAACTTTGAGGAGGTGGACGTTGAACGAAAGTTGATGGGGAAACCTTACTAGGGGGATAGACTAGAAACTCATCATTAAAGAGTTCCAGAGGAGGGGATGAAGATGAATTAGTCTGAAAGAAAGGTGTTTCTTCAAAAGAAGTGACATCTTCAGAGATAAGATACCGTCCCAATGAAGGATAATAACATCGATATCCTTTCTGTAATCGGGAATAACCGAGAAAAACACACTTGATTGATTTAGGATCAAGTTTTGAGACCTTGGAACGCATATCCCGGACAAAACATGCGCAATCAAACACATGAGGAACAAAAGAGAACACTGACGGGATTTGACCATTAAGAACACAAGGAGGCCTATGATTGATAAGGTAGCAGACAACGTCTATACCCAAAATGGTTTAGGAACCCCATGTAAAATATTAAGGCTCGAGCTACTTCTAGTAGGTGACGATTCTTTCATTCAACTAAACCATTTTGTTAGGGTGTATAGGGACAAGAAGTGTGGTGCAAAATCCCATGGCGAGATAAGTAAGTCTGAAAAGTGTTAGATAAATAGTCATTAGCATTATCACTTCTCAGATTGTGTATATTCTTATTAAATTGAGTTTGAATTTCAGCATGAAAGGTACAAAATGCAATAAACACATCAGAACGGGATTTCAAAGGATAAAGCCAAGTAACCCGAGAAAAATAATCACAAATGTGACAAAATAAGGATAACCAAGTTTGGAAACGACAGGACAAGGACCCCACACATTAGTGTGAACTAAATCAAAACTAGACTCAACACTTTTATTTATCCGAGGGAAAGTTGTTCTGTGATGCTTCGCAAATTGACATGCTTCACACTCTAAAACAGACTCCCGTGACAGACTAAGACCCATCTTTATGTAGTACAAGAAGAGATGTATGACCAAATTGACAATGAACTTTTAACAGAGATGAACTGGTGCATGCAAGTGATCTCAGCACCAAGGATTCAAAAACATATAAGCCATTAACCAATCTGCCTTTACCAATAATCTGCTTCGTCCCAAGATCCTGAAAAGGCAATGGGTGGGAAAGAAATAACACACCAGTTTGATAGGGACACAAACAATAATACTAATAAGTATAATAGTATAGTATTAAAGAGTGTGATAGTGTATAAAAGAGGGTTTTGTGCCATGCAAATCAGGAATAATGGGCCGGCCCTTGCGAAAAAAAATTACTATAAGAGTATAAATAGGAGGGGAGTGTGTGAGAAGTGGAGGGGATTTTCAGTTAGGAAATAGAGTTTGGAGAGCCTGGCACTCTCGAATTTGCCCAGAACTGTCCTAGTAATATCCTTATGTGAATAAACTAGGTCTGTCAACGGGTCGGATACAGGCCGGAACTATAAATTTCATATTCATATCCGTTGAGTAATTTTTGGTGCAGATCTGGACCTATTTACGCTTTGAGTCCTAAACATATGTTCTAGATTTGGGTCCAGCTGGTCTCGGATAAGGGCCGGGTATACCCACAAAAAAACTAAATGACATATGCAAACAAATATAATGCATAGCAAATTTTTTGTTCATATTGAAATATATTATATATATATATATATATATATATATAAATAAGCGAAATGTTGTTCTCCATTACTCCATTATATAAATAAGAAAAATACAAGTACACAATATACGTTATATGTATATTAGTAAACTCATAGAGAACCTATATCAGTAACTCATTATGGAAAACAATATTATAGTGGGTCAACCACTAACTAAGCCTACAATTATTAAAATAATTATCATCATTATCATTATCCCAGTGCCGCAAAGGCTCCCACCTACGGTGGGGTAAGGGGGGTCGGATGTACGCAGTCTTACCCCTATACTAAAGCATAGAGAGACTGTTTCCGGATGACCCGTAGTGAAAATCGCGTCCAAAATTACATGGACTGACTGCTACTTCATAAAAAAGAAGCGCAAATAGTTTAGTGAGCCATTTTGCTTTATTCCATCATATTCTCAAGCCAAAAATTCGCGAGTCTTTGGCTCCACTGCAAATGATGGAAACCTACAATTATTAAAACATTTTTTATATTTGATTATTTTCCTTAATTTATGTTTAAATATTTCTATGTATATCGTGTGTGTTTGTGTATATAAAATTATAACTATAATTATATCATAACGGGTCGGATCCAAAACGGGCCGGAACATAAAAATCCATATCCGACCCATTTTCTCTATCACGTAACGGGTTAGGATTCGGATTCGGGAAACCGTTCTAAATTTAAATCCATACCTTCAAATACAGTGTCAGATTCGGATCTGGTCCGGGTCTAGACCCGACCCATTGACAGGCCTAGAATAAACGTTCAATATTCTTGATTGTTCTGTTCTGTTCTTGAGTGTTTTGTTAATTCAAGAATCTCGAATTTGCCCAGTACCTAACATTGGTATATAGGGACACAAATAATACTAATAAGAATAACAGAATATTATTAAAGAGTGTGATAGTGTATAAAAGAGGGTTCTGGGCCATGTAAATCAGGAATAATGGGCCGGCCCTTATATGAAATAGAATTACTATAAGAGTATAAATAGGAGGGGAGTGTGTAAGAAGAGGAGGCGGAATTTCAGTTAGAAAATAGACTTTGGAGAGCCTGGCACTCTTGAATTTGCCCAGAACTGTCCCTGTAATTTCCTTCTGTGAAGAAACGTTCAGTATTCTTGATTGTTCTGTTCTGTTCTTGAGTGTTTTGTTAATTCAAGAATCGGGACATTGCCCAGTACCTAACATTGGTATCAGAGCACGCGGCTTCCTGGAGAATCTGAATCAACGATCATTCCAGGGCATCAACAACCTGGAGCTATGGAGAAATTCTATATGTCACCGCGAATGGAAAAGAGTTTTGACAATATGGAACAACATATGAAGGAGATGAGAACTACATTGGGCGAGATGCGCGACATGTTGCGCAAACCTCGTCGCAGGCAACCTAAAGATCGAGTGAGGAGCCCAACTAGATGCCGTTGGCCAACTGAAAATCAGTTGTCATCGTTCGTAGCTCTTCCTAGTTCGCAAACGCGAATGGCTTCTTCCAGTTCACAATTTCGTCTCACAGTTTGCAATCGCGAACTTCATCTCCCAGTTCGCAGTCACGATCTCCTTCTCTCACTTTGTCGCTAAGTGCGCAGGTTTCTTCTCAGTCGCGAGCAACTCCTTCCAGTTCTCTGGCTTCATCGCAAAGTGTTTTTCCTCACCGATCATCATCGCAAGTCATTTCTCCTAGTTCGCAGACTGTGTCGCAGGTAGAAGATATCAGTTCGCAGTCACTACCTGATTCTCCGAGTTCGCAGGTTTGGTCGCAAACCACCTCTCGCAGTTCGCAATTAGATGCACCGCCTCCATAGTTGTCACGACGTCGTTTAAGCGTCGCCTAGGCGCTGGCGGTGGAGGGACGCCGTGCTCAACCGACTCGCCTGAAGCTGTCAAGGCGTAACTTGGCGTCGATTAGGCATTTGAAAGTCGTCCTGACGGCGCCCAGATCCAGTTTTCACCGACCGACTTGTCGGCTAGAACCCTGGGCCCTTCAACATTTGGTCATCGTCGCAGGTTGCCACCTCTGGTCACCGCCGCTAGTCGACGCCGCTGGTCCGGCTCTATCTTTGCTCTCTCGTTCCCGTTTTTAAAGTCATTACTGTCTTTTGCTTTATTCTACGTTGTTTGGCTGGACTTATCTTTTAATCTTTAGCCCATGTCATATGGAGTGAAGGCTTCTTACTATACAGTATACACTTCCTATTTACAGTTGGGGTCCATCTAATATTTCTTTCCACTCCTTTGAGTAAATGTCTGTAAGTCTGTTACACTTGCATTATTGTACATATCATTACCTTTATGGAAATTTATATTGAACACTTAGGAGGTGTTCACTTCGATGCTAAAGTCACAGTTAGGTTAGACAGGTGAAGTAAACACGCACGTTGCTTAAAAAGCCGCTTACTAACCGAAAGAGGTGCTTAAAGTGCCGCTTACTAAGCATACCACCCTCCATGTATTAATTAAGCGTCACTTTAAGCTTTTTCAGCTTCCGAATTTACCCCTTACCCTTACCCTATTGTTACCCCTCTACCCACTACCCCACCCCGCTTAACCCTACCTTACTACCCCGACCTCGACCCCACCCTACCCACTACCTCCATCCTCGTACCTTACTCCTACCCTACCCCCGACCATTACCCCACCCCCACCTGTACCCCTTTTCCCTACAACGACCCTACCACATGCCCCCACCCCGATCCATAGCTAATGCCATCCTACCGCCACCCCTACCACCTCGACCCTACCCTACCTACCCCTACCTCGGCCCCACCCCGATCCCGACCCCACCCTATCGCCATCTACCCCTAACCCCTACCCTACCTAACCACAACCCCGACTCCACCCCACCCTTACCCCCTACCACATGCCCCTACCTCGGCCCCATCCCGATCCCGGCCCCACCCTACCGCCATCCTTCCTACCCGACCCCCTTACCTTACCCTGACCCCACCCTACCCTACCTTACCCCGACCCAACCCTACCCTACCTTACCCTGACCCACCCTACCCTACCCCCTACCTTGGCCCCACCCCGATCCTGACCCCACCCTATCGCCACCCCCCTTACTCTACCCTACCCTGACCTGACCCCACCCCTTACCCCTACCCTACCCCCTACCACATGCCCCCTACCTCGGCCTCACCCCGATCCCAACCCTACTGCCATCCTACCCCCACTTACCCCCTATCGTGGTAAGGTCAAGGGTGTGGAATTGGGCAGGGGTAGGGGTAGGGGTACGTGGGGTATAGGGGGGTTAGGGGTATGGGTACACGTACGAGGTGACCCCACATATTATATTATATACTTGTGTTCATGAATGTTTGTGCGTCTATATATGTATAGGGTTATTTTGGACATTTTAATGTTAAACAGTGTTTTAAACCCTTTGAAGTAAACACGTTCTTACAACATTGCTTATTTTATGCGCCGCTTATTAACGCGGGTCTTAATAAGCACCGTTTAGTAACCCGTGAAGTAAATGTGTCCTTATTGTAGATAAATAATTAAATTGTCAGATATTTTCTCTTCTAGTTTATCCTTTTATTTTGTTTCATATTTTTAAATTTTTAAATTAAATTTATGATACTCCCTTTGTCCCATTGGACTTTGCAAATTTTCCTTTAAGGTTGTCCCAAAAAATTTGCCACTTTCCTATTAAAGCAACTAATTTGTGGTTATGGACATTTCTCTCTCCTCTGCACAAATCTCAACCACACAGTTTTTACTATTCTTATTTCTCACATACTTTGCACTTGGCAAAGTCCACCGGGACGGAGGTAGTATATTATTTCATTATTTCATGGTTGGTAACCCCACCACCGCCTCCGGGACCTCTACTGCCATCAGAAAAAGTGCTACTGCAGGCTGCTGTCTATACACCCAGAAAATATTGACAAAATAGAGGCTCTCAAACTGAAGTCCAAGATAGAACTGGACATTACATATTTGACTAAGGAAAAAACCAGAGGGTAATCCTAAAAATAATAAGCAATTGAATCACATAATGGTAGCAGTATGTTTATTTTTGTAACAAGTTGGGCATGATAAATACCTATGCTTCAACTTGAGGGCAGTGTGAAAGATATTCTAATATCTTTCACACTGTGATTGCAGGCCACATGCCGTTATGAGTGATTCATACATTGTGCTAGCCACTAGTGGTATACTTTGGTCGATTTGAAGGTGGGAATACCAAACATTGTTACTTATCAGGTGGCTCAATAAGTTGATTGATGGATTTTTATTGATACCGTTTGATAGTGGGAAGGTTGATTCACTGTTTACCACCCTTAGAAGCTTGAGGGTAAGCTTGCTGTCTAAGAGAGTGTCAGGATATGAGCCCGTGATCTGCTTGAGGGTAATATTAATATTGTTATTAGTTTCCCTTTATCATAAATTAGTAATGGTTTCCCCTTAGTATGGGTTTTATATTTTAGCTAATATACCTAGTAGCAATGTTGCAATAAGTTATTACAATATTTACTTTCTCATCAAGATATGTGAGTAGTAAAAGTAGGGGGTTTAACTTCGTTAATAAGATCATATAATTCAAAACTCAATTATAATGCTTTCACAAGGTTAAATCTAGAAGGTTTTTGTCAAGAACACTTCTCCATACCCCAACCAGGCTCATAACATAATTATTAGTTGTTAGTGGTGTAATCAGGGGAGGTATGGTAAAGTTTTGTATTCTTTCCACCACCACCAACCTCATCTCTATTTTATGTTTAGTACATGACTAAGAAAATATTCCCTCTATTCGTATTAATTGCTTCAGTAGGGTTTTCACAGGTTTTAAGAAGAAAATTGTAGGAGTAGTTAGAGGTGAGCATGAGACGGTACGAGACGGTTATTTAAAAGTACATGTCCCATCCTAAAGTACAGTTCTTTTAAAAATTAAAGAACCGGTACCGTCCCGAATATGTATAGAACCTATCTCGTTCCGTACCAATTTTTGGTACGGTGCGGTACGGTTCAATATGGTTCTTCGGTAGTATTCGATTCCTAAATAATTAACTCCCACAAAGTAAAAACTATTTTAGGTTTAGCATTAATAAATAATTGTACAAAAATAGAAGGGATGTCATCACATGACAAATATATAGGATTGTAGGATTGTACATAAATAATTATAGATTGAAATCAAACATAACTGAAATACAAAACTAATAGTCAAACATGAAAAAACAAAAGGTATGTCATCACATGACAAATAAAACCAACTTCATAGTCCATATTTGAACCGGAATACGTCTGCCATAATTCTAAGTCGTGTCTCAACAATCGATATTGAGTCCGTATAATTGTATTGAGACCCAAAATTTTGATTAATCAAAGTGTAGATTAATACCTAATATAATATGGAGTATATAATATAATATATCGAGTATTATTTTATATAGCCAATATTTCGGGACATTACGGGACGGTTCTCACTTAAGAACCGGTACCATACCATATTATTAAAAAAGTTCGGTACGGTACGGTATTACTCCCTCCGTCCCATTGGACTTTGCCAACTTTCCTTTTTTGGTTGTCCCAAAAAAAATTTGCCACTTTCCTATTAAAGCAACTAATTTGTGGTTCTGCACATTTCTCTTTCCTCTGCACAAATCTCAATCACACAGTTTTTACTATTCTTATTTCTCACCTACTTTGCACTTGGCAAAGTCCACCGGGACGGAGGTAGTATATTTTTGCCGGTATGCTCGGTTCTTGTACGGTTCGGGACGGTTCTCGGTACGGAACGGGAAATCCCAGATCCGTGCTCAGCCCTAGGAGTAGTAAATATTAGGAGAGAGAAGATGATGAAGTACAAAAGTAAGAAAGATGAGATGAAAAACTAGAAAAAGTAAGGGTATTTATGCATTTTGATATGGTAAAACATGCCAAATTAGGAAAGTGGAGCACATAATAAAAAGCTTCCCAAAAAGGAATACAACAACATCCATATTCCCAAAAGGAATATTGAGAAAAAAAAGTTGAGCCAAATTAGGAATGTGGAGCATTATTTTCTCAATGTTATTTATACCGCGCCTCTTACATAACATAACTCCTATTTCAAATGAGAACAGTTCTGTGATAATATTGTTATTTTGTTATCAGTGTTTCATGTATACATGAGTTAGCAGTCTATCAAAGAACTTTATTCACATTTTTCCTGTGTGGTTCTTGTATCTAAAATATGCAGAGAGAAGTTTACCCATTGCTGCTGTTATTTCCAGCTGAGAGTAAGAATCCTGTTCTCTATGAAGGAGATGTAGATGTATCTGAGATCATCAAGTTCCTTGCTGAACATGGCAATTATTCTTATGGCCCCGCTAGGGAGAAAAGTAAGATTCCTTAAAGATTAAATCTTCCAGTCACCTTGCCCCTATACCTTTTGCCATCAAAATAGATTTTAAAATTAATGACAGTTCTATTTTTTTTTTTTTTGACTCATGAGTCATGAACAGCGACCTTGAACTTTTTGGACAGAATCTTCATTAGATATATTCATTGTTTAGAAGGAGAAGGAAGTAGACTGAACAATTTTAAATAATATCTATAGTTTTATATTACGAAAGCAAAAGATTCACTAATGTCACTTTTGCCATGATGATACTAAGTGTTATCAGAATTAAGCATATAATAGTAATGAGAATGGAAGAATTTTCTGTGTATAATATAAGAGGGTTAAGACCCTATATATAGGTTACAAAGAAGGAATATTCCTACATAAGATGCTATACTATAATAATGTCTAGAGTATATTCCTAAAGCATATTCTTATATACAATAATTCTTTCACACTCCCCCTCAAGTTGGAGCATAGATATTTATCATGCCCAACTTGTTACATAAGTATTCAACACGAATCCCATTTAGAGCTTTGGTGAATAAATCTCCAAGTTGTTCTCCAGTCTTCACATATCCGGTAGAGATCAATCCTTTTTGTATCTTCTCTCGAATAAAATGACAATCAACTTCAATATGCTTTGTTCTCTCGTGAAATACGGGATTGTTTGCTATGTGTATAGCAGCTTGGTTATCACACCACAATTTAGCAGGCATTGATGTCTTCAATCCGAGCTCAGTCAATAAATGGCTTATCCATATGATCTCACATGCAGATTGTGCCATAGCTCGATATTCTGATTCAGCACTCGAACGAGAAACCACATTCTGTTTCTTACTCTTCCAAGATACAAGATTACCACCAACAAAGACGCAATAACCAGATGTAGATCTTCGATCATCTTTAGAACCGGCCCAATCAGCATCTGCAAAACACTCTATTCTCATGTGATCATGGTTTTGATAAACAATACCTCGTCCTGGTGCACCCTTTAAGTAACATAATATGTGTTCTACAGCAGCCCAATGATCAATGGTTGGGGATGACATGTATTGACTCACTACACTCACAGAATACGCAATATCTGGGCGAGTGACTGCGAGATAATTAAGCTTTCCAACCAGTCTTCTATATCTTTCTGGGTCTTCAAACGGTGTGCCTTCTTGAGTGAGTTGAACGTTGGGAACCATGGGTGTTGTACTTGGTTTTGCCCCTAATTTCCCGGTCTCAGCTAGTAAGTCAAGTACATATTTTCGTTGAGATAGAAATATGCCTTTCTTACTTCGTGTTACCTCAATTCCCAAAAAATATTTCAATGAGCCAAGATCTTTGGTCTGGAATTGGCTGTGCAGAAAATTCTTTAGGGCCAAGATACCTGCATTATCACTCCCTGTAATCACAATATCATCAACATACACCACAAGCAATGTGATACCTGCTTGCGTTTGTCTGTAAAAGACAGAGTGATCTGATTGTCCTTTTTTCATTCCAAACTGTTCAATTGATTGACTGAATTTCCCAAACCATGCACGCGGACTTTGTTTCAAACCATAAAGAGACTTGCGAAGTCGACAAACTTTCCCATACTCCCCCTGAGCAACAAACCCTGGAGGTTGCTCGATATAAACTTCCTCCTGAAGGTCACCATGCAAGAATGCATTTTTAATGTCTAACTGATGCAAGTGCCAACCATGAGTTGCTGCGAGTGAAATAAGTAACCTGACAGATGTTAATTTAGCAACAGGAGAAAAAGTGTCAGAATAATCTACACCGTAGGTTTGAGCATAACCCTTCGCAACTAATCGAGCTTTCAACTGAGCAATAGATCCATCTGGATTGACCTTCACAGCAAAGACCCACTTACATCCAATAGATTTCTTCCCTGTAGGCAAGTCTACCAAATCCCATGTACCATTAAGATCCAAAGCATTCATTTCTTCTATCATGGCAAGACGCCATTCCGGATGAGCCAAAGCTTCTTTAACAGATTTGGGAATAGAAATAGAATCAATGGAGGCAATAAAAGAGCATGAGGTAGATGATAACTGACTGTACGACACAAAAGAAGAAATAGGATGAGTACAAGATCGTGTACCTTTGCGCAGTGCTATCGGGAGGTCAAGATCTAATGTACAGACAGGATCTGGAGATGCAGTTATTGGTTCAGGACATGAGGTCGAGATCGGATCAATATCAGGATAAGGAATCACAGGCGGGGGAAGATCTGGTGCTTTGTGTCGACGGGTGTATACCAATTGTATTGGAGGCCTGGGATCGGGAACAGTAGGATGTGGAGTAATTTCCGAAGCAGTGGACTCAGGTATGGTGACTGTGTAAATGAGTATATCATCATTCTCCCTACAAATATCTGCCTCTGGGGATGAATAAGGTGTATTCTCATAAAATGAGACATCAATCGAAACAATATATCGACCTGTACTTGGACAAAAACATCTGTACCCCTTTTGAACTCGAGAATAACCTAAGAAAATGCACTTTAATGACTTGGGATCTAACTTTGTTAAATGAGGATTAACATCGCGAACAAAACAAGTGCAACCAAATATTTTAGGCGGTATAGGAAAAAGTTCATTATTTGGAAATAGGCACTGATACGGAGTTTTACCGTCCAAAACAGTAGATGGCATTCGATTGATCAAAAAACATGCGGTAGACACAGCATCCGCCCAAAAATGTTTAGGCACATTCATTTGGAAAAGAAGCGCACGCGCAGTTTCTAAAAGATGTCTGTTCTTTCGTTCAGCCACACCATTTTGAGGAGGCGTGTCTACACATGAAGTTTGATGAATTATGCCATGTTGAGCCATATACAACTTAAACGAGGCAGACAAATACTCTTGAGCATTGTCTCCTCTTAAAACACGAACATGAACATTAAATTGAGTTTTTATTTCAGCACAAAAGGCACAAAAATGAGAAAACAACTCAGAACGCTGTTTCATAAAGTAAATCCAAGTCATACGAGAATAATCATCAACAAAGGTAACAAAATATTTAAAGCCAATTTTAGACACAACGGGGCAAACACCCCAAACATCAGAATGAACAAGTTCAAAAGGAGCATGTGCTCGTTTATTGACTCGAGGACTTAAACTAGTACGATGATGTTTTGCAAATTGACACGAATCACACTGTAAAGACGACACCTCATTAAATTGAGGATGAATTTTCATCAACAAAGGGAGAGATGGATGTCCTAGTCGATAGTGAGCCTCTAACACAGATCCAACCCCAAGACAGGAGATGGTTTTAGGTAAGGATGTGTCCAAAAGATAGAGACCAGCCGACTCATATCCTTTACCAATAATCTGATTCGTCAACAGATCCTGAAATACACAATATCCAGGAAAAAAGGTTACAGAACAGTTTAGTTTACGCGTGATTTTACTGATCGAAATCAAATTAAAAGCAAAGTTTGGAAGACTTAGGACAGGTGACAAAGGTAAGGTGGATGTTGGGACAATTGTTCCCGATCCTAAGACTGGGGAGGTAGACCCATCAGCTAAAGTGACAGTAGAAGTATGAAGAGGTGTGTGGAATGAAGAAAAAAGATTAGGATTACCTGTCATATGATCGGTTGCTCCTGAGTCGATGACCCATTTTGAGGATGAAGAAACAAGACATGTGTTTGGATTACCTGAATTAGCGACAGCTGAGATAGGAGTAGATGAATGCTTTAGAGTCTCTTGGTAGCAAAGAAATTTGGCGTATTCCTCAGAAGACATATTGATTGATCCATCAGAAGACTTTGTAGCGGAAGCAATGTGAGCAACTTGATTTCCTTGATTTTTGAATTTTAATTTTCTACAATCTTTGATCAAGTGTCCAGGCTTCTTACAGTAGTTGCATACTATGCCTTTGCCAGATGGTCCAGTACGTGGCCATTTCTCACCTCCTTGGGTAAACGTTGGAACTTGCCCTACAAATGCACTGTTTGACTGAGGTGCTACTGGCGTGGATGAAGTATCGGTGCGAAGCACTCTAGTGAAAGATTCTTGAAGAGAAGAGACCTCATCACTAGATAAGATATGTGATTTGGCTGTTTCAAATTCAGATGTTAGACCAGCCAAAAAACTCATCACTGCCATTTGTTCTCTTTGTTTTTGCTGCACTTTGATATCAGGACTAAATGACATTAATGTATTCAGCTCTTCATAGGTTTTCTTGAAATCCATAAAATAAGCCGTGAGAGGCTTATCTTTCATTTCCGCTCTGTAAAAGGCTTTGCACACCTCATAGATGTGGTTAAGATTACCTTTTCCAGAGTACATAAATTCCAAATAATCAAACAATTCTTTCACAGTATCGCAATGACTAACATACCCCATTACCTCATTCTCCATTGAGTTTTGAATTTGGATAAATAATCTAGAATCGTCACGAAGCCAGGCAGTATTAGCAACTCTATCAACCTCCTCCTTTGGCGGGTCATCAACTAAGTGAGTATGTTTATCAATGCTCCTTAAATAGCGTTTGATAGTTTTACTCCATTCAAGATAATTAGAGCCACAAAGTTTATTCTCAGTAATTTTAAAATTAATGGGAATAACTTCAGAAACTATCAAAGGCTGACTTTGTGTTACAGTGGAGGTGTCAGAACCAGGCATTTTTTTTTTCTTTTTTTTTTCTTTTTCTTTTTTTTTTTATAAACTGTAATAAAATTCAAAATTGAGATATTTAATTTAATGAAAACTTACAGCAGCCCGTTTTGGGCTGGAGAACAAAAGATATGTTCGGGCTTTGACTGCTACTCCAGACAGAAGTTAGATGCCAGACCCCAGTGAATAATCAGCCACATGAATATCGCGCGTATGTCGACAGATATCCACTGGCAGACCCCAGCGACCAGCGATATTTCCACAGATGTGCGACGCGAGCGACAAACCACCAGACCCCAGAGAACGGGAGAGAAGTAATGTATACCTGGTGGTAGATGATTCTCAGGCGAGCCTATTGATGAGTTCCGATCAACTC